TTTCAACTGGAACCTCCCTCAGCACCATCGTCAGGGTCAGCGGTGACAGGAAGTACACGCAGAGCTGCACGCCAACAACCACAGCAGCAGGTTCAGATTAAACCACGTAGTGCAGCAACGATCACCCAGTTACCGACTCAGCACCCTGCAGCGCAGATTTATCATGATTATTATTATTGTTTATTTTAATAATTGTTCCTTTTTCAATTCTTTATATTTCATTGTTTCTGCTTTGAACTCAAAGGTCAGGCCAATAAAGCCAAGTGAACTGAATGGTCTCAGAGTTTAAGTTTACAGTCTTTTTCATGGCTAAAACGAGTAATATTACCTATAAAAGTTTGCATTTTTATTGAACTACAAGTGCTTTAGGTGAATTGGATCCGAGCCGTTTTGAAATGCGCCTCCTGCTGAGTTACTTCTGATCTCCAGTTGAGCTCTGGCAGCTTTGTAGTTCTGCCCAGAAGCACATAAATGTTAAACTGTCGTTTTTTTAAACAGGGTTTGGTGAGAAACCCCCTCCTGCACTTTCACTGACAGCCTACAAGACAAACAAACGACTCCTCACTTTGGACCCGAGCCGAATGAAAGGAGGCTCCTGCAGAATGACCTCTGACCTGCAGTCGTGCTCTGACAGCTCGGTCTCGCGGGCACAAACTGAAAAGTTTAAGTAAATTGTTAAAATTTTACACGGAGTCCGGCGGGACGTTCATTTCCGTGACATCGACACACAGCGGCCTGTCACTCTTAATATTCAGTGGAGACTCCGGGACCTCCTCCGGTCCCCCTGAAGTCCTCGGACCACAGGTTGGGACCCTCCGGTGTTCGCGTTATTAAAGCGAGAGGCTAGCTGCTAACGTTAGCATTAGCTTGACCTTCTCGGCTCTCCGGGTGTATCAGAGCGGCTCCTCGCCGGATTACAGGCCACATATCACCGGGGGGGGCACCGCGGGGCTCCGGTAAAACGGGGAAAGGAATCAGACAGAAACTCGTCGTTTATCCGGTAAAACGTGAGAAACTGTTACCTGTTCGCCTCCGGTAGTCACGTCAGGCAGCGGCACTTCCTCAGTTCGTTCTTCGGTGGTGCTGGGAGCACGCTGCGTGTTCTTCTTCTTCTACTGCTTTTACTGTAACTGCAAACAGGGGGGGGTGCATCCAGCAGGTGGCGCAGTAACACAGCGGAAAACCCTCTTCATCATCATCATCATCATCACACACAGCGCCTCTTCCTGTTCAGTGTCTCCACACCAAACCCTGTATTAAAAAACACACACATTTTACATCATTATAACTGAAGGGCTGGTTAAAAGTCTCTTTAAGTAAACACACAACAACAATAATAATAATAATAATAAAAATCAGAACGTGTAAAAGTGCCGGATGTGAAACAGCCGCAGGGTTATTATGTAATGTCTGCTGGTTGCCAGGTGCTGATTTATTCACTCTGATGTTATTTTGGGGTTTTTATGGTGGAGGTTTTGAATGGGAGGATAAAACCATCAGAGCCTGGCAACCCTGTGTGCTGACAGGATGCGTTCAGCTAGCGGCTAACAAACTAGCATCGTCAAGTCAGATGGAGTCACCGCAACAACAGGAAGTGAAAGAATTAACAAAATAAAAGCACAGTTAATGTTCTACAGTTAATGAAGAATCAGATTCAGAAATACTTTATTACTCCCCGATTCTTTGTTACAGTACCTCACACTGTCCGCCAATCCGAATGACTGTGAGGAAGTCCAACATCCAGCTGCAGAGAGTATTTAAACCCAAACAAACAGAAATGTACTTATAAAGAGGAGCAGTAGTAAACTTACTTACATTCAGGGCTGTAGGCTGGACTTTTATAACATAGGAAGAATGAATAAATAAAAATAAAATATTAAATAATCAGATTAAAGTAATAAAAATCTATATAGTTTACTTCCAAACATAAATCTCTAAACGCGGTTTCAAAGTCTCCAAACAGCTGGAGTAAAAATCTGTTGAGGAAATATAAATGAATACAATTTCAAATATAGATTTTAAATATATGCCCAGCTTGCTGGAGATAAATAAATACGTAAATTAGTTATTGTTTATGATTGTTTAAGAAGAATCAGAATCTGAGATAAGTAATATTTTACACAAGGAATTTGCTTTGGTGATTAGGTGCTGGACAAAAACATAAAAAAACGGAAATGTATATAAATATATCAATAAAAATTTGGCAAAATATAGAAGAGTAATAATAAATATAACTGCCAGCTGTGTTCGTGGGTTCAAGCCCTTTCCAGCAACAGTGATTTCAAAGTAATTTCACACAAAACATATCCTGCGAGCTTTGTAACGATTGGACAAACCTTTTCTGATCTATAGTCTGATTTGTGTTATGCCACGCCCATTTCTTGCACGTGTAGCGCCCCCTAGTGGTCGATTTGAATGAAACTGTCCGGGGCTCCTGTCTGAACATACACTGCGGGATTTGTGCTGATTGCCCATTTATGTCCTGAGCCACGCCCCTTTTGAAGTTCATTGGTCAATATCTTGAAAACAAAATGAGAAATCAACAAACTTATCATCGGAGCCGCGGTGCAGGAGGAGATGTGTAATCTAATCATATATATGTGTGTGTGCAATATGGCAGTCTGGGCAGTAACACAAATTACCTAGTGCCCTTCTTCTTCTTCTGTGTTTTTATGGCCAATGATCAACGTCATGAAAACTTTAAGACAATTTATGACAAATTCCACTTCAAATATCTCACTGTCAAAAAACAAAAAAGATTTGTATTTTAGTTTAGTTAAATGTAGTTCTTATTTTATTTAAAATTAAATTATTTTAGTAATTTATTCACGTATTTATCTTCTGCGGCATCAAATCTGTTCCATCTGTCTGGCCTTATTTCCTGGGGACTGAACGTCAGACCCAAATAAGCCTTCGACTTTTAACCCAGAGCTTTATTGTGAAGGCGCGGGCCGGATGTGCGCCGTGTTCCGCTCTGTGGCTTGACTCCGCGCAGCGTCGTCTCTCTCTTCCTCCGCTCGGAGGGATTTTCTCTCCGCCGACCTGCGTCCAGTCACGGCGTCTCTGCTGCACACGGAGACCTGGAAGAGTCCGACCGGATCCGCCCGAAGTCTGGAGCGCCCGAGCTCATCGGAAAATAAACCCGCGGATGGTTCTGTCTCCAGGCGGGGGACCTGGAAACCCGGGCCCGCAGTAGGAGCAGGGAGGAGGCCCCGACGCCCCCTTGTTCTGACCCAGAAAACAGCACCGACGGCCGGGCTGCCTGTCTACTAGAAGGCCGGCTAGCCTCTGGCCACGCCGGAGCTCGCAGGCTGGCTAACGGATAACGGGATATTTTAGTTCTTATCATCGATCAGGAGGATTTTCTCCGCTGAGATAAATAAATCGCGACCTTCTGGAGATCGGGGAGCTGGTAGCTAGCTACCTCCGGCTAGCTGTCCCAGTTAGCTGCGTCTCTCCCCGGCTACCAGAGAGCGGAGGCTCCGGAGCGGGGACGGAGGAACCGTCTCCCGGTACTTTGTCTTCATCCCACGGACTTCACCGGAGAAACCGACCATGGCTGCTTTAATCAAAGAGATCGTCAGCAGGAATAAAAGGCGATACCAGGAGGACGGGTTCGACCTGGACCTGACCTGTATCCTTTCCCCGGTCCCGTCAGTTAGACTGCATCTGAGCTGGAACGTTCATGCAGAACTACGTTTAAAAATGTTGTCATTTAACAGGCTGTTCACTTGGAGCTGCTCCTCATGTCGGCGTGCGTTTACTACTTAAAACGGTACTTTTTTAGTGCGTTTACTACTTAAAGTTGGCCTTAAATTGGCAGTTTTCTCAACGGAGTTCGTCGTGTGCTTTATCGCCTACAGGAGAATGTGCTAGCCGGCGTCCGTCTGCGGTGACGCACCTGAGCCGCACCTGATCCAGGTGCTGATAACGTTTTATACGGCTGTGCGGATAAAGACAGTGATTTGCTCGCGAGTTGTTTTTAGTGTAGCAGCGCTGAAGGTAGTAGCTGCTAACAGGCTAAGCTAACAGCGGCGTTGCATCAGCAAACACACCTGAGAAAGCTACACCTGGAGACAAACCGTCACTCAGCAGAGCCGGATCACCGTTTATCAGTCGTGTCTGAAGCAGAACTAAAACCTAAACACTGGTATTAGAAGTAAAAGTACTCTGGCTGCTGTAGTAATGCCTCAAGAGTACTAAAACCAAAACACTGGTATTAGAAGTAAAAGTACTCTGGCTGCTGTAGTAATGCCTCAAGAGTACTAAAACCAAAACACTGGTATTAGAAGTAAAAGTACTCTGGCTGCTGTAGTAATGCCTCAAGAGTACTAAAACCTAAACACTGGTATTAGAAGTAAAAGTACTCTGGCTGCTGTAGTAATGCCTCAAGAGTACTAAAACCTAAACACTAGTATTAGAAGTAAAAGTACTCTGGCTGCTGTAGTAATGCCTCAAGAGTACTAAAACCTAAACACTGGTATTAGAAGTAAAAGTACTCTGGCTGCTGTAGTAATGCCTCAAGAGTACTAAAACCTAAACACTGGTATTAGAAGTAAAAGTACTCTGGCTGCCGTAGTAATGCCTCAGAGTACTAAAACCAAAACACTGGTATTAGAAGTAAAAGTACTCTGGCTGCTGTAGTAATGCCTCAAGAGTACTAAAACCTAAACACTGGTATTAGAAGTAAAAGTACTCTGGCTGCTGTAGTAATGCCTCAAGAGTACTAAAACCTAAACACTAGTATTAGAAGTAAAAGTACTCTGGCTGCCGTAGTAATGCCTCAAGAGTACTAAAACCTAAACACTAGTATTAGAAGTAAAAGTACTCTGGCTGCTGTAGTAATGCCTCAAGAGTACTAAAACCTAAACACTAGTATTAGAAGTAAAAGTACTCTGGCTGCCGTAGTAATGCCTCAAGAGTACTAAAACCTAAACACTAGTATTAGAAGTAAAAGTACTCTGGCTGCTGTAGTAATACCTCAAGAGTACTAAAACCTAAACACTAGTATTAGAAGTAAAAGTACTCTGGCTGCCGTAGTAATGCCTCAAGAGTACTAAAACCTAAACACTAGTATTAGAAGTAAAAGTACTCTGGCTGCTGTAGTAATGCCTCAAGAGTACTAAAACCTAAACACTAGTATTAGAAGTAAAAGTACTCTGGCTGCCGTAGTAATGCCTCAAGAGTACTAAAACCTAAACACTAGTATTAGAAGTAAAAGTACTCTGGCTGCTGTAGTAATACCTCAAGAGTACTAAAACCTAAACACTAGTATTAGAAGTAAAAGTACTCTGGCTGCCGTAGTAATGCCTCAAGAGTACTAAAACCTAAACACTAGTATTAGAAGTAAAAGTACTCTGGCTGCTGTAGTAATACCTCAAGAGTACTAAAACCTAAACACTGGTATTAGAAGTAAAAGTACTCTGGCTGCTGTAGTAATGCCTCAAGAGTACTAAAACCTAAACACTAGTATTAGAAGTAAAAGTACTCTGGCTGCTGTAGTAATGCCTCAAGAGTACTAAAACCTAAACACTAGTATTAGAAGTAAAAGTACTCTGGCTGCTGTAGTAATGCCTCAAGAGTACTAAAACCTAAACACTAGTATTAGAAGTAAAAGTACTCTGGCTGCTGTAGTAATGCCTCAAGAGTACTAAAACCTAAACACTAGTATTAGAAGTAAAAGTACTCTGGCTGCTGTAGTAATGCCTCAAGAGTACTAAAACCTAAACACTAGTATTAGAAGTAAAAGTACTCTGGCTGCCGTAGTAATGCCTCAAGAGTACTAAAACCTAAACACTAGTATTAGAAGTAAAGTACTCTGGCTGCTGTAGTAATGCCTCAAGAGTACTAAAACCTAAACACTAGTATTAGAAGTAAAAGTACTCTGGCTGCTGTAGTAATGCCTCAAGAGTACTAAAACCTAAACACTAGTATTAGAAGTAAAAGTACTCTGGCTGCTGTAGTAATGCCTCAAGAGTACTAAAACCTAAACACTAGTATTAGAAGTAAAAGTACTCTGGCTGCTGTAGTAATGCCTCAAGTGTTTTTGTTCTGTCAAACCTCAACATGATTAAAATCTTCACACCAAATGTTTCTACATGACAAAAGTACAAGTACCTCTAATTTGTACTGAAGTACTTACAGTAAATACTGAGTTACTGTCACTGCTGCTAAAGAATCTCTAGCTGCAACTGGTAGCTGGAACTGGTAGCTGGAATTGGTAGCTGGAACTGGTAACTGGTAGCTGGTAGCTGGAACTGGTAACTGGTAGCTGGAATTGGTAACTGGTAACTGGTAGCTGGTAGCTGGTAGCTGGTAGCTGGAACTGGTAACTGGTAGCTGGTAGCTGGTAGCTGGTAGCTGGAACTGGTAGCTGTTAGCTGGAACTGGGAACTGGTAGCTGGAACTGGTAGCTGTTAGCTGTTAGCTGTTAGCTGTTAGCTGGTAACTGTTAGCTGGAACTTGGAACTGGTAGCTGGTAACTGGTAGCTGTTAGCTGGAACTGGTAGCTGTTAGCTGGAACTGGTAGCTGTTAGCTGGAACTGGTAGCTGTTAGCTGGAACTGGGAACTGGTAGCTGGAACTGGTAGCTGGAACTGGGAACTGGTAGCTGGAACTGGGAACTGGTAGCTGGAACTGGGAACTGGTAGCTGGTAGCTGGAATTGGTAACTGGTAGCTGGAACTGGTAGCTGGAACTGGTAACTGGTAGC